CCAAACCCCAAAGTCTAAACCCCAAACCCTAAGCCCAACGACTCTGGGCTCCCAGTGCTCGGTCGCAAGGGCTGCGCAGCTCTGGGGCTCTATGGACTGGGGCCTGAGAAATGCCCAGGCGTTGGGGGATCTTTGAGCTGTTTGGCGGGTCTGTGGAGAAGTACCGGTCCTTGGTGGGATTCTTTGGGGAGTTCTCCCCGACCACCAACCCCAACCTTCTCAGGCCCTGGCCGTCCCAGGCGCCGCACCACCAGCTCGGCGGCCAGGAAGGAGCAGGGCGGGCAACCATCCTCAGGGTTTGGAGAGCTTCAAGGTTCAGGTGTTCAAGCGGTAATTAAACCTAAAGTATTAAAAAATTATATATATATATATATATATATATATATATATATATATACAAAGATCTCAAGACCGGTCTGCTAGGGTGAGTCCAGGTCTGCTACGGTGAGTGCCGCTGACTCCGCCAGACGGTTGCTCCGAGAATCTGGCGCAGTAGATACGCGCATGCATACCTACATATGTATGTATGTATGTATGTATGTATGTATGTCTGTATGTATGTATGTATAGATGTATGCATGTGGAGATATTATATATATATATATATATTAATTATATATATATATATACATATATATGTATATAACTGATGTGTAGAACGGCTTTCGTGTTAGCATGGTTAAGACCCTAAACGTGCTTCCGGCACTGCTTGTTGTAGCCGCTATTTACTGGTTGAACGCCCAGCCGTGCCTTGCCTCGTGCCCCACGCCTCCTTGCAGAAGTTCCACCATGAGCTCACTAAGAAGGGCGTATGGCTTGGGGTGCGACTGAAGCTGAAGAGCAGGATTAAGAGTTGAAAGGTTGAGGTTTCGGGCTTAGGGTTCCAAAGTTGAAGGGGCTCAAGGGTTTGCGCTCAAGGGCTCAGTCAAGAGGCGTTCAGGTCAGGGTGCCGAAACTTACCACTGACTGATGTGAGGTAGGCCGACTTAGATCTTGACGTGGACTTGCCCTGACGAAAATGGCATCAAGATGGCAGGCAGCAGCAGTCCTTGACCCAAGAGGCAGAAGCCCAACCCTAAAGACCCTTGAACCCCAACGCAAAAACCATCAGCCTTTAAAGCCAGCCTCAAAACCTGAAGAGCCCTTGGCCGTCGCTGCTTTCTAGATTTGGAGGCCCGATGCTCGAGCCAGCGAAGCAAACTCGATACTCAAAGCCTCCATGTTATGTGCGTTCTACTATACGAGTATGAGGACTTCCTGAAGGAGGGCATGCTGAGAAACGTGCTGACTGATATGCCCCACCCCTGTCATCACTCCATGCAGCAAAGTGCGTGTGGGTTTTCCTTCGTGCAGATTCACAGTATCACTGCTGACTGCTACTCATCCGATGCCGGCACGGCCTCACTGACTCTGCCTTGGGCGAAGGTCCCTAAAGTACTCGGGTTGATATGGGAACCGTCGACCACTACCCGTACAGCAACACTGACCTGCATCCTTAGACCATGACATACCATGACCCCATCCTACCGGCGAGCCCTATGCAGCGCTGTTAACCTCAATCCGCGGGAACCTGGCTTTGTCTGGAGAAAAATGATGACGTTCCCAAATTCTAGGTGTAGACTCTTGAAGACTGCCGCGCAAGATCTACAAGCCCAACCTGGACCCAGAGACAACAAGCCAGAGCCTCGCAACGCAGGACACCGTCCTGGCACCCCAGAACAATATCGAAACCCTCGACCGCGACCCCCACAATCGCAGCAGGAGCCTAGTACCATAAACCCCTGAACCCCTAGTCATACTCGAGTCCTCCAACTCTTAACCATAAACCAGCAAAACCCAAAAAGAGGGTTTCCCTGAATCAAAGTCCCCTGTGCCTCAAGATGGGCCTTTTCTGTAAACAAGGCGCCTGACTCGGCATGACCATAACTTGGAGAACTGCCAACAAAGAGCAAAAAAGAACCCCAAAAGGCCACCCGAGGCTCGGTGGCAGAGCAGCGAGGTGAGCCCCGGAAGGATGGGTGCATTGAGCCTGGCGTCGCTGGCCGCAAGGCGGGTTGGGGGGCATTGCCTTTTCGGTCGAAGCCCTGCCTTGCGATCGATTCAATAGGCCCCCATTGCCAGCAAAGCCAAGCGCACCCGAAACCCCGAAGCAAAAAGTGACCGAACAAACACCTATAAACGAAGCCTACATGGGTAAGTGGGTAGACTTGTGGAGAAGAATGACTCAGGTAGGAGTGTCGAGGGTCTTGGATGGGCTTGAGATGTTCGAGCGTCTAGCCTGGGTGAGAGGTGTCGAGTTTTTAAGGGTGCAGGCGACCCGCAACCCTTTCCCTCGGGCCTCCGATAGCCAGGATGCCGCTGGAGGAAGCTGTCAAGGGACCAGGGTGTGTCGAGCCCCTCTTTTGCCGGGGAAGGCGCTGAGATAGCTGAGACTCGCCGAAGTGCCGCGTGCGCTGCCTTTCGGAACAAGAACGGATGTGGTCATTAGCTTAGGCGGCCGGCGGAAAAAGATCGCGAAGGCTTGCTGGCTGAACACCACATGGAGATGCCACATCATCCGTTGCAATGATTTCCTTGGGGTCCCCTCAGCATGGCCATCATTTTAAAGCCAATGAATCCTATTGGAATGCACATTGTGTGGCCTTTGGCAAGCATTTCTGGGGGCTAGAGATGATTGCGGCATTTGGCTGTCACTTAGCCGCCCTCACCCCCTTGCAATCATGTCGTTCTTGGAAATAGTGGTGACGCCACTACCCCACACAGCCTCATCAAACGGCTTCGTCTTGCAGAAGCTATGTGGAATCTGCGGCTTGCCAGAGTGCATAGGGTGTTGGGGTGGAGAGGGGCGATGCTGTGCCGACAGAGATTGCTAACATTGGAGGGGTTGTCTGGAGATCCCACACAGCAAGCCTGCTCGCCGCATATGTCTTACAGACAAGAGTTCCCGCAGCATAGCTTGCCGGGCAACACCTTCACAACCTCAGCGATACCGGTGGGATCGCCCGCGCCCCCGTGTCTGGTCAATTTTGTAAACTGAAGCCCGGAATCGTAGAAGCCCTGTCTGCCCTTGTGGTACTATAAAGGAGAGGATCAGCGAAGATCAATGCAAGCTGTCACGGGGCTCCGTCGCAGCAGGCCCCGCTGCCGCAAGCTTGGCGCTCGCCGGGGCTGGCCTTCACTCGAAGCCTGGGCAGGCTGCCAGATGGCGTGCAGAAAGGTGCACACAAGATGGTCATTGCAACCGCACCCGTCCTAGATTCCTGAGGCGAGAAGTGTGGAGGGAGCAATAAAGCTTTGGCCTTGGGCAAGAATCCGGGGCATCTTGCAAGTTGGAGTTCCCCGCTGGGTTGCCTGGACCCGCGCAGAGACCAGCACAGAGCCCCGACACACACAAGAGGTCACTTGTGACAAGCTTCTGCTGCAGCGTTTCCAGCTCTTGGGAACGCCTAAAACGAACGGCAGCTCTTCACCGGCCACTTCTATGATGTGTCGCGTGGCGTGGGGACTGGTGACTTGGACCTGTTCCCGTTCCATTGCCGAAGCCTCCTGGAACTTTCGGCACCATGCCAGTGCAAGTTGCGGTCGCCGTGGAGGTGAGGCGTCATGACCACGGCACGCACTGCCCATAGAATATTGCACAATGATGGTGCTTTGCTCGCGGGCCAGAGTGCATAGGGCGTTGGGGCGGTGCTGTGCCGACAGAGATTGCTAGCATTGGAGAGGTTGTCTGGAGATCCCACACGGCAAGCCTGCTCGCCGCATATGCTTTACAGACAAGGGTGCCAGCAGCATAGCTTGCCAGGCATGCCCTTGTGGTACTATAAAGGAGAGGATCAGCGAAGATCAATGCAAGCTGTCACGGGGCTCCGTCGCAGCAGGCCCCGCTGCCGCAAGCTTGGCGCTCGCCGGGGCTGGCCTTCACTCGAAGCCTGGGCAGGCTGCCAGATGGCGTGCAGAAAGGTGCACACAAGATGGTCATTGCAACCGCACCCGTCCTAGATTCCTGAGGCGAGAAGTGTGGAGGGAGCAATAAAGCTTTGGCCTTGGGCAAGAATCCGGGGCATCTTGCAAGTTGGAGTTCCCCGCTGGGTTGCCTGGACCCGCGCAGAGACCAGCACAGAGCCCCGACACACACAAGAGGTCACTTGTGACAAGCTTCTGCTGCAGCGTTTCCAGCTCTTGGGAACGCCTAAAACGAACGGCAGCTCTTCACCGGCCACTTCTATGATGTGTCGCGTGGCGTGGGGACTGGTGACTTGGACCTGTTCCCGTTCCATTGCCGAAGCCTCCTGGAACTTTCGGCACCATGCCAGTGCAAGTTGCGGTCGCCGTGGAGGTGAGGCGTCATGACCACAGGCAGGACCCCGAACGGGGAACATGTGGAGAGCGTCCACATGCGGCCGAGCGTGTCCTTAACGCATCACTCGATGATCGAGCTGCCGAGCAGGCGGCAGGCCTCAAACAAGGGAATGAAGATGGACAAAGGTTGTAGGGTTTAGGGAGTTTACGGTAGTAAAAGTTCGTTGGCTCAAGAAACTCCTTCAAGCTGAGCCGAAAGGTGCAACGACCGCCCACACGGAAGCCAGGGAGGCATCTGGGGACTTGCAGGGTAGACCGTGCCGCTGTCAAAGCCGTCGCCAAGTTAGGTCTATGGGGTTTATTAGCCCATGCGGAAACTGTGGCCTTGCAACGCCTGGTCCCAGGGTTCCTGGTTGCATCGGATGGAACAGCGCATGGAAGCGCCATCCACCCCAAAAGCGCCCTGCTAAGTCTAAGGAGGGCTACCTATCAGGACCTATCAGATCTCTCAAATCAGGCTGTGACCTCCAAAACTCCAAATCAGCGCCTGGCACTTGGGGGATTGTTGTTTTATTGGGAGGGTCTCATGATTTCAGGGCAGGTGAACCGAGTGGGAAGCACCTGGGCAGGCGCCATGGCGTAGCTCTTCAGGCTCTTGTATGCGACCTCAGAGCTTTTAAGACCCAACACTGCCTACTCCCATGGCATCAGAGCAGTGGCAGCAGCCGCAGAAGTTGTCACAGGCAGCTTTGGTGGATCATCAAGATCCCAAAGATGTGTGGAGCCACAATCCGAGGCCTTTCCAAAATGAGCCTGAGAGCACACATGTCCGGTCACATGAGAATCACTGCCAGCCCCACTGGCACGTTGGAACACAGTACGCCATCGCTCAGCGCCTGGCTATGCTGCACCTAAAGATGGCTGAGGAGTGGCTTGGCGCCTGGGGTTGGATGAAGACCTCAACAGCAGCTGGGCTGCGGAAAGACAGCGTCTTTGAGTGAGCTCAAGCAAGAAGAGCAACTCGGATTTAGCTGGCTGGCATTGGTCAGTTGCCAGACTGCGTCTCACTCGTCCAGAGATAGCATTCCCCACACAAACATGGGAGCACAAATGTGCTGTCAGAGAGCTACGTCACGGGAATGACTTCCCTGCTCCCATCCTGCCTGCCTGGCATGCAGATGTGCGCGGGACCTCAAGGCCAACCAAGCCGCACCCCTTCTCGGACCCCACTCGCAACGTTCCTGCACCGGCAGCAAGCCGGCAGCAAGTCTCGACAGCCGGAGTGCCAAGCCTTCAACAGCCTGGCGAGTCTCCAATCGACGGGAAGCACACGTTGCGCAGCTGATGCAAGGGGTCGGTGGCCAAGTAGCTGTCCACCTGCAGAGAGGACTCACACGGGCCAGGCTGTCAAGAAGTCGCGGCATCCGACGTGGTCGCTTGCATCAATTCGCAAGGACCAGCCGACTTCGGCGCACGGCAACTGTTGCCCGGAAGAAAGGTGATCCGAGAAGCCCAATGTAACATCACGCCTGCGGCACGCAGTCTTGCTGAACCTGGCGGCGTGAGACCATCAGGTTGCAAGCGCACCACCATCAGAACCTGCAGGCAGATGAAAGCAGAAAAGCCTCGTGTATTCAAGCACTCCAAAAGGGAAGCCCAGAACCCTCGCAACCTCTGGATCGCTTCCGGACGGACCACAGCTTTTCCACAGAAAGAGCCATTGTAGCTACCCAAACGCGCAAGATATTTGTTGACCAGCATCCAGACTTTCCACTTGGGGCTCTAAAAAACGCCGCCCATACGGTGTCAAGCTACATTTACTGACGAACATCGTGGGAACCTTGGCACGCCTTTTCAGGAGCTTCGACAGCTCCCGGCCGAACCTCCCTGTCCAGGCTTCGCTCCTGATCCCCAACTGCTTGCCTCGAAAGCGACAGCTGCGCGGATGGCGCACGCGTTTGCACCGACATGTGGACATCGACGGGGTCATGCTGAACACATCGCAGCTGAAGGCTGCTTTCAGACTTCACCGCGAGCGGCGCAGGCAGCACTGCAATGGCAAGCCGGGTCTCCGAAAATTCCCAAACTGCACCTTGCCCTCGAGAGGAGCCGCATCGCACCCAGCGTGGGCACACGACTACATCTTAAGCCACGAAAGATTGACCTAGGGAAGATGGCCTGTCATGAGCCCTATCGACCGCACACCTTAGGATTGAGAAGTGCAGACACACAATCGCAGCAGCGGCAACTTCTATCGAGCTACTATCAACGGCACGGCCATTGGACAAGGCAGCTCACATGGATAGCCTCATCATGCATGCTGCTTGAAGAACGAACGTTTCAGGGGTTCAGCTTCAAATTTTCGGCACAGCAAGGGCATGTGGAAATCCTTCATGTGTGAGTGGAAGGGGGATGAGGCGCATCTGCTAAACCAGAGTCGGCCCTCGGCCAGAAATTAGCAGAATGGCATGGGCTCTCGACATTCTCGAGATGTGGCGACTCTGCCCATGCGCCGAAGCCCAGACATCATCAGAGCATCACAGCAGCGAGAAGGACGGCAGTGCCATGCTCAAGTCTTTCCAAGGACTTGGTTCCACGTCGAAGCCCATTTGGCCCCACTCAGTTCACTTCCTCACAAGGGGGCCCACAGTCCACCGCGGAGGCGCAAATGCCACGAGGGTCGCCTGGCCCTCGGGAGCAACCAAGCCCTTCCGTCTGGATTTCATCCGTGGACATCCCGGCACAGGGTCACAGGGAACGTTCTAGGAAGTAGAGGCAGAAAACCTGCAGTGCAAGAAACACGCGCTGCTTGGACGGACAAGCTTCCGGCGCCCCCTCCACACTCAGCGGGTTCAGTCGGCAGCTACTGGCACTGGCGACTTTCAGGCGCAGGCTCTTCAAACGAAGACGCTTGCACGCTCCTGATGGTTGTATTGGTAGCACGAGCTCGACATCACAAGGATCCGGTGCGTCAACGCCTCGGCTGTGCCTTTCTTTAGTTGGACCAAGCTAGGCAAAGGTTGTCGGCTCTTGCATGCTTCTCACGGTGAGTCCCCATGTGAATAGCCCAAATGCAACGACACCCCGAAGCACTCTTCTGCGGTGACTGCCGGTCATATATGCCGAACGCAACGTCATAAGCAGTTGAGTGTAGCCTTCCATGAGGATGTTTGTATTCGCCCAATAGTCGCAAGCCATGAGATTTGCGCCGGCGCCCGAGTGGTCATAGCTGCATCACATGCTTTTCTTCGGGTTCTTGCGCAGACAGCTGACACCACCCTTCCGAAGCCTGCTCGCTCGCTGCGAAATGCACTTTGCACCTCGGCATTCTAAGCCGAATGGCTGCGGGATATGGTGGCACACTCGCTCCGGGACGTGGGTACCAGAGGACTGGGGCATCATGCCTTTTTTATTCCCACAGAACGCACGGAATGGCCACAGCTACCGCTAGGGCAATGTGAGGACACCATACAGCCAGGTCTCCCCACCAGGCTCCCAGAACCAAGCGCGGCCACCAGAGGCGCACAGGAGCAGATCAACATGCGTCAGTCCGCCAAGTAAGAGGCCCTGTTCCTGGCGAACCAGACGATGAGAAGCACATGAGGTGCGCGGGAGAGGTCCTGATGCTATCCGCTGGCCTTGCACAGCGCAGCCCCTGGTGGCACCCAACCAGGTTTGATGAGAGCCTGGTCATCGCTCGCGTGTGTGCTTCTCACGAAGATTTCCGACAAGGCCACCGAGGATGCTAAGGCATGTTCCCGCATCTCCCGCAAAGGCGCTGAGGGAGGGAGGGTTGCAATGCACAAAGTCCGCAAGTCACCACAACTATGGTCCCGTTTTGGGGGTCCTTATACGCCAAATTCTGGATACAAGGGGTCTTCTGAAAGGGACCCAGCCAGGCCCAGGCCAGCATGAGGACATGGACCACGGCAGGTTCCGGGGCGTGAGCGGATGCTTTCCGCCCAACTCCACGCGAGCATGGGGCTCTACAGGCTCCACCGCGCCGCCTGGGTCCCTGTGTCGAGGCATTGCTGCCAAGCCCGCAACGAAGCCTCAGTGCCTCAGTTCTCAGAGACAACACGGCACAAGAGCACTCGACTTGCGAAGCCTACGATGGACGCTCTGCAGACCTGCCCGACAACGCAGCCTCCTGCCGCAGCCTTTTTTCATGAGATCGGGATGGCCGGTAGAAATTATCATATCAGGGAGCTGAGCTTCCATTTGACAGCCGTCGGCTGTCGTAACCTCTTTGGGCAAAGTACGCTGGCAACAGAGGTTTGCGACTTGACTGGTCCGAAGCGCGCCGGTTCAAAAAACTGCTCGATCCGCCGGCATCTGATGTTTAGATCATTTAAAATCCCCACCAAATTACGAAGCACCGTTTGAACGAAAGAAAAATGCGGGGATTATCGCTCCTGTCTCAAAAGTCAGCCAACAAAATCGGTCTGGACTGGTGGGAGCAGAAGTTAAATCAAAGCTCATCTCTATCTCCGTGCTACAATCATTTCGACTTTCATGCTGTGGAAGATTTAGCAAGCTGGTATCCGTCCGCGCCACGACTTGAAGCTAAGCGCCACCCGAAACACACGCCGGTGCAAGCACTCTCCAGGCCCGGAGCCTGTCCTGCGGCCACGGCACCGCGTGCCGGGATGCGATCGCCCGCGTAAGTCGCGACGTCCAGGCTCGTTCTACCATGTCTACCAGGAGCTGCATCGTTGCGCACTTCAGGGCTCGAGAAGGGGGGTAAGCTTCGGCTCGGCCATCAAATCGCAGCTTCCCTGTTTGGAGGGAGCGCTCACGTGAATGGGCTTCCTGGGGCAAATGCATGTAGAGGCTATGAGCCATTGTTGCTTCGGCTTGCTTCTGCTGCGTCTAGAAGTGATGAGGTGCAGTCCGCGTGGCACCAGCTTCCCTGTGGAAGCGATGACTCCGATGAGGCCGAGTACAGATCATACGCAGAAGAAAAGCCAAATGGGCCCAGAAAAGCGAGGCAGGCCCATGCCTGGATAATCACAAGGTGCAGCACTTCCAGTCACAGGCTTACTTTGGATTAACTCTTGCAAACATGCAATGAGTCCCTGAACAAACTTCATTGCATATCGAGTCGCTTGATACGAAGCCAGGGTGGCACGTGAGCTTTCAGATGAACTCCCGCTATGACTCTGGGAGATGGCACATTCGGCCGCGGGCTGCAAGCAAAGGATTGTAAACGACACCGGCAAGTGGCCATCAGAATCATTCGAAACGACGCTCGCCTTAGCCTTGTCAAGGAGGAAATCCTCAAGCCCTTGGTGCCGACCCAGCACAGTGCCTGAGCTCTGAGCTGCACAGGGCCCTGCACATCGTCAGAGCATCAAAGCAGCCAGCAGGACGGCGGCGCCGCGCTCAAGGCTTTGCAGGGACTTGGTTCCACGTCGAAGCCCGGCCCGACTCATTTCACCGGGGAGCGTAGCCTCACCCGGGGCCCACAGTCCACCACGCAGGCGACAGTGCCAAGAGGGTCGCCTGGCCCTCCTAGCCCTTCCGTCTGGATTTCATCCGTGGACATCCTGGCGCAGGGAACGTTTTAGGAAGTAGAGGCAGAAAACCTGAAGTGCAAGAAACACGCGCTGCTTGGACGGACAAGCTTCCGGCGCCCCCTCCACACTCAGCGCATTCAGCTTCAAGCTCATGAAACCGGCGATTGGCGACGGGGGTCTTAGCATCCAGGCTTTAGGACCTCGATGTGAATCGTTACCTCAAAGTGCTGGTCTCACAGCTGAGCTGCCACCCCAAAAATGGTCACTGAGTCTCGATGTCCAAAGAATGATTTCAACTCAAGCACCGGGCCAGCAGCGAGCAGGTTGAGCAGAGACAGCGCACAGGGTGGACCCCTTAAGACAGCTCGTCGTCCACCCTGGCCACCAGCAAGATGCTGCCATGTCGGCGCACGATGCGCATAGGAAGGATGCTGCCGTTCTTCGGGGCATTTTTGCGGAAGCCCATGTGTTCCGAGCGCTTTCACCGTACAGTTCCAGGACCTCGGCCATGTCCAATCTGCACGCCACGCAGTCCCAATGCACTCGCAGAGCCTTCGAAGAGGCTCCGACATAGTGCCACTGCCGGGGCCGCACGAGAGCGTCTAGCAACCTGCAGGGTTGAAAGAATCGAGCCTCAGACTTGCTGCTGTCGTGTTTACATGATGGGAAACCCGCAAACGTGCTTGCTGCGCAGCTTGCTGTAGGCGCCCCGAACTCGAAAATCTTGCGGGCGCCTTGCCAGTTCTCCATGCAGGGGTCTGCGCAAGCTGTCGCAGCCACTCCTCGCAGGTGTGGCAACACTACACCCAAAGCAAGCATTCACCTTCGACATCCGCCCTGCAGCTATATCCTTCACGACTAGCGAGCTCGTGTCTTTGGGGCGGCTTTCGGGTTTGTGGGATTCCTCCTGGGCTTGGAGCACGCCCGGCCTGGACCCTTAAACATGAAACCGTCAAAGCTGGCTGGAATCTGGAAACCTCTGGAGACCTCACGAGCCCTGAGCCTGCTCCAGGGCCCAAACCCTGACAGGTCCCCTGCAAACAAAGCAAGGTGTTGGCAACAAACTTTTGAAAAACTCAACGGAGGCTTGAACTTGAACCGACATTTTCCCCATCCCTGTCTGAGGACCTAAACCCTCAAGCTTGAACATCCGAACATCTCCGAACCCAAAAGAATGTAGTATAACTGCATTGCCCAGAAACCCTAAGCCATAAACCACGCCCGAACCCTAAAAGCCAAAATTTTAGTTTAACCCCGCCTCTCCCCGCCCCCAAACACCAAACCCCAAACCCTACCCAACGACTCTGGGCTCCCAGTGCTCGGTCGCAAGGGCTGCGCAGCTCTGGGGCTCTATGAACTGGGGCCTGAGAAATGCCCAGGCGTTGCGGGAGCTTTGAGCTGTTTGGCGGGTTCTCTTGGGGTGTTCTGTCTGTTCCTTTTGGGCAAAAGTACCGGTCTTGGGGGGTTGGGATTCTTTGGGGAGTTTCAAGGGCATACGGGGGGGATGAGGGGCTCGGGGGCCTGAGGTTTCGAGATGGTTTTAGCATTGAGGGCATCACGGGGGTTTTGGGTGAGTGCTTCAGGGATTGCGGGAGTTTGAAAGAAAGGCTAGGAAGTTGAACACATGGGGGGGCTACATTGCCAAAATCGGAGGGCTGTGCGATCCGAGGGGTTGGATCCACTGCTTCTGGGCCTGCTTAGGGCTTAATTCGGGCTTTGGATTAACTGATTAACTGTGCAATGACTCAGATCCTTCACCCGACGAATGCTCTACTTCGGCCGAGCACCCGGCGCCCCAGATAGTCTGCTGCCCAAACTCAATTCCCAACTTGCTATACTCCGCGGCCTCAACACGGGCATCTCTACGCCCCAAAATCCCTGAACAGACCCGAATCCCGTAGCATCCCTGACCTCCAACCCCAACCTTCTCAGGCCCTGGCCGCCCCAGGCGCCGCACCACCAGCTCGGCGGCCAGGAAGGAGCAGCGCGGGCGACCATCCTCAGGGCTTTGGAGCTTACAATCTTTCAGGGTTCAAGGTTCAGGTGTTCAAGCAGTAATTCAACCCAAAAACACCAAAGAAGCAGAGCTCGAGACCTCGCACCTTTCAAGTTGCGAACGGCAGGTCTGCTATGGTCAGTCCAGGTCTGCTACGGTGAGTGCCGCTGATTCAGCCAGACGGTTGCTCCGAAAAGCTGGCGCAGTAGATACGCGCATGCATGCATGCATGCCTACATATGTATGTATGTATGTATGTATGTATGTATGTATGAATGTATGTATGTATGTATGTATGTATGTATGTATGCTATGCGACGTTTTCTGGGTGTGCGTGTGTGTGTATATATATATACATATATATATATATATGTACATACATATATATATATATATATATATATATATATATATATATATATATATATATATACATATAACGCACTTGTAGAGCGGCTTTCGTGTTTGCATGCTTGCCAACCCTAAACGTGCTTCCTGCACAGCTTGTTGTAGCCGCAATTACAGGTTGAACACCCAGCCGTGCCTCGCCTCGTGCCCCACGCCTCCTTGCAGAAGTTCCACCATGAGGGCACCAAGAAGGAGAGCTTATGGCTTCGAGGTTTAGGGCTTGCGGTTCCAGAGTTGAAGGGGCTCAGGGACTTGCGCTCTCAAGTGCCCAGCTAAGAGGAGTTGTGGAGTGGTGTTGCATTTTGAGTTCGGGTGCCACTGATGGGGGGTCGAGCGACGCAGCTCTTGACATGGAAATGCCCTGATGAAAAATGGCATAAAGACGGCAGGCGGCAGCAACCCCCGACCCATGAGGCCCTCAAGCCCAAACTTAAAACACCAAGCCGCCCTCAAGACCTGAAGCCCCAAGCCTGAAGCTTAACCCCTGAAGCCCTAAAAATATCGGCCGGAAGTAAGGTCAAAAACATCATCATCAAATCGGCCGCATTTGCCCCATCCCCACCGGGTTTAGGGGTCAGGGTTCGGATTTGGAGTGTATGCTTTGAGGTTGAGGGAGGGGTTGCGGTTTAAGTTTAAGGTTGAAGGTTGACGGTCCTTCGTCGAGGCTGCTACTGCCCCCCCCCCCCCCCAACACGAGGCAACCTTTTCACTCAAGCGTCATGTGTTCCGATCACCGCACCATCACTTCTGCTGCTTGTCTGCGTCGGCACTGCCTCGAATGGGTGCATCCTCTTCAAACCTAAGCCCTACTTTGAAACCCGCGACCCCCCGAAAATCCCTAACCTACGGCAAGCCCTTAAACCCTGTCCAGGCGCCGCGGCAGAGCACCTCGAGGATATAGGCCAGCACCGTAATACCAAGGCTGGGAGCCCTGAAGGGCTGCTTCTTGCGAAGGCTTTAAAGGTGTTTCTCGGGCTGGGCGTGTTGAAGGGCTGTCATAAGCTCAGTCTTTGAAGCGACGGAACGTGTACATGCATGTACATAGTGACTCTATATATATATATATATACATATATATATATATATATGCTGAATGTTCGGCCTTAGGCTCGAATCTGCACATTGTGCTAGACAACAATTCGTTAGGGTTTCAGGTTGAGGGGGTTTGGGTCACTCAGTCACTCAGTCACTCTGCCCCTGCAGCCCTGAAGCCCCTAAACCCGTGAGACTGCAGTCAAGCAACAGATAGAGCATGGCCGTTTCCTGCCAACTGCAAATTCCAAGGAGTCTTGGGTTCAAGGATGGAAGAGAGTCACGGCTCGGGACAGCGAGTCAACCCTTTTTTCCTTCAAAGGCATATTGCTGGTCGTGTCCTGGCTCGCCTGACGGCACCCCCACAGCCCCTCCCGCGCTGCTCGTGAAAACTTCTGTGAATATCCGACTACAAAAACCTTTGGGGTGCCCTCGAAGCGGCCGTGCATTGCATTGGAAACTTGCGTCCGTCTAGGACGTATTTACGCAGACGGTTCCTGCAACTTGTCCAGAGGAACTCTATGCCGCGTTTCCCGTTTCGGCAGCGGCTCTGGGAATTTGAACACAATCACAATCACTGCAGCGTTGTCTGCCCTGCTGACCCTACCTGCATTTTGCAGGATCGAAAGTGCAGCATCCTGCGGCAGTGCCGTGGTTCGGAGTGCCTTGCGGGCATGCGTCAGGGCAAACTGTTCCTTTAATGCATCCCAGATGCCATCTGACCCGATCATCATGAAGTCGACGTCGTCATCAATCGGCACCCGGAACACCTCAGGCTCATTCATGATGCCATTCACCTTGTTGCCAGTGCAGAAACGCACATTGCCCAAGGCTCTTGATACCGCAACGTGCTCGTCAACATAGCCGGCTTCAACGCTGACCCCCGATTGCTTCAAACGTGCTGCCTCAGCCACGTTCTTTTCCGGGGCATGGTCCCGGGAAATTGCCGTTGCATTGCCATCTTTGGACACTACAGCCCGGCAATCACCCAGGTTGGCAATCCACATCTCCTTGTTCTTCAGCAGGCCAAGACAAGCTACTGTCCCCGATGATGTTTGTGCGTCAGCCGTGACCTTGTTATTCACAAGAACTTGCATGACCTCTTCATCTGCAGCTTTGAAAGCAGCTTTGATGGCACCCTCCACATTCTCCTCATCCTGCAGGTAGCGTCCCAAGATTCTGGGGAGATTCTCCTTTGCGACAATGACAGCTTGACTCCCTGCATGTCCGTCGTAGACAGCAAAGAACCTATATCCAGCAACATCGTCCTTGATGTCCACAGCATCTTCCATGTGCGACCGTTCGTTCTTGGCCACGGCGTAGCCATAGTCAACTCCCCCGCCAGACTCCTCTTCGGGAAGGAGGGGGCTTGCCTCCTTCTCCCTTCCGAGGCAGGTGCACAGCTGGCCCAGCAGCCACCACATGCCGTGTGATGGAAGCGGGTGGGCCTGCACCTACACAGTACAAAGTACACACTGACGGGGCTCGATCCAATGAGAATGAACATGCGTTCCTGCAAGCCATGTAAAGACCATGCACTCACATGCCCGGCATTCAACAAGCCAACAAAAGCCAGAACTCCTGCACGTAGCCCGCCCCCAAGCGCTCTGCAGCCTCTGCACGCGCCTGAGTTCGGCTTCTCGGGTTGGGTGCGGACTGAGGGGGATTCGGGAGACTTCGGTTGAAGGAGTCAGATGTATGCATATAAATAGAAGTATAAATAGAAGTACAAAAAACAAATATATATATATATATATATACATATATATATATATATATGTATAGGGTTCTGGGCTTGGGAGACTGTGTCCCAGGTCTCGGGGTTGGCAGCGCTCTGCCAGGCAAAGAGAGAGGCGGCTCCCAAAAGAAGGGTACAGGATGACCATGATCAAGCAAAGACTCATGGGAACAGTGAGCTGATACTCAGGCAAAGCATCGTTCCAGGCAGCGCTGGTTCTGGTGGAGGAGCCCACGAGGCTGGAGCATACCTCCTGCGGCCCAGGACATCACATGCAGCTGCTTGGGACTTACGGAGGCCCAACTGCGTAAACAGCCGTCACTTTGGGTTTAGGGGTTAGGGCCTGTTAGGGCCACGAGGGTTCAGTACATAGGGTTTAGGGTTCCCGCAGCCAGCGCCTCATCCGACAGATCTGGTTTGGAGAGCTTGGCGCGTTTTCGCGCCATGAGCTTCTGGAGGGTGAACGGGTTCCAGGAGCCTCGGGTCGCTTGAGGTTTTGGGTGCAGGGGATGCCTGACGACAAGCCCTAAGCCCTCAATCCCTAGGCTTGAGCCTGATGCACTCGAACCATTTTCACCGCTCATAACACTCAAACCGCCTTGAAGCACAAGGGAAGGGCTTCTGAGCTTTTGGCTTCAGTGTGCCGAGTGGCCGTAGGCCATCAGATCCCGGACCCGCAAGCCCAGGTGCATCGCCGCGGAACCCTGAAGCCTCGCCTCAAGGGAGGAGAGGAGGGAGAGAGGAGGTCGGGAGAGTGAGGGAGAGCAGGGAGGGGGAGAGCGAGGGAGAGAGGGGGCTTTCGGGTGGAGTCGGGTTCTGGAGGGTGTGGCTGACTTGATTCGCGGATGGCAAGAGGATAGTGGTTGCGGCAGCCTCATCAACTGACACCACATCTGGCGAGATGTTCCAAAAACAAAAAAAGAGCAAAGCAACACCAACCCTAAACTCCAAAAGAGGCCTTGAAACCCCCAAGCCCAAGCAGCAAAGCCTCGAGAACTGAAACCCAAACCACCCCAATCCCCAAGCAGTCACAGTCTGGGACTTGACCACAAACCCCTATACCAAAGTCCTCCCAAAAGCATCATACCTCGGGCTTATTTGTTGAAAGCAAACGCCCCAAAGTGCCTGCTCTCGGGCTGTGGATCGGGCATGAACCGCCAGTGATGCGACGTGGCAAGAGGGCCTCTCTTTGGGTTTAGAGGTCGGGGTTTGGGGCGTAGGGCTGATTTTATATGAACTCCCTTCAAAGCCCTCAACCCTCAAACCCTTCTGAAGAGGGTTGGGCTTTCAAGGGTGTGGGGTTTGGGGTATTTGGGGCTTGGGGTTTGGGAGAGCTTTAGGGTTTGGGGGTTTGGCGGCTTTGGGGTTTCAGGAATCGGGGGATTTTGGGGGTTGGGGGTTTTGGCTTTCAGGGCTTCTGGTTTATCTGGGTTCTGCTTGCGCTCGCCTTCACCCCGTGACCAAGAACATCTGAACCCATCACGCCTCAAGTTCGAGAGCCGACTCTCGAAATCGGCGATCATTCCTGGGACTGGTGGAAACTTCGGGGGGAGGGGAGAGGCTGTGGACGGTGCTTAGCTGAATGATCCAGGACAAGTGCTTACAGGAGACTTGTCTGCATGTGCCGGAGCCCGAAAGTCAGAAGCTTGAAGCACCGAACCTCATGAGTGCTCAAATATATGCCCCAACGTTCAACAGCAATGGGAGGCACCCTAAGCCCCCCGTTGAGGGTTGAGGGTTTAGGGCTTAGGGGTTTGGGGGTTTTGAGTTTCAGGATCCTTGATCAAGGATCCGTGGTAGTTTTCCCGGACCTGCCAGGAGGGCAGCCCAGCAGCGGGCAGTGGAGGTGGCTGCTTCACATCGTTCTCAAGCCTGAGGTTAAAGTGCGTAGGGAAATTCGGGAGTCAGGGGCTGAGGGGTTTTTGTGTTCAGGTGAGTTTAGGGGTTTCAGGGTTTGAGCTTGACGGTTTCAGGGTTCTGGCGATAGGGCTTCGGAGTGGTTTCAGGGACTGAGGACTGAAGCAGATGTCAAGTCTTCTGCGCGTGAGCAAGCGCCAGCCACGATCCCCCAAAACCCTTAAACCCCAAACAATCACGTGCCTAAAGCCCCTTCCGAATGCCCCATACACCCCGAAATCCCTAAATCCCCCACCCTAAACTAAACCCTTGAATCCCCAGCCCCGTACATCCCCAGCCCCGAAGCCCTCAAAAGCCCTCAGGCCTCCAAATATCATCCCCGAGGTTTTCCGGGAAGCTGCCGACGGAGCCCGGGGGGTGTGGCAGAAAGCCTTGGCTTTTCAGTCTTGTGGGCTTAGGGGCTTAATCCTTAGGCCTGGCTTTTATTTGGCTTGGTTTCGGTCGTGGGCCAGCTGTGTCTGCACCCCACCCTTATCGTTAGTTTGGAGGTTGTCAAGGAGAAACAAGATTGCACATGCTGGGGATTGTTCTCATCCTTACAGTCCTGCTCGTTTGCCCCACACCGCTGGAATGGAGGATTGACCAAAGCATGAGACACCTCCTGGTAAGGTGCCAGCCGACCGACGGACACGACCGGTGCATCATGTTGCTGCATGATTTTGCTTGGCGGGTGCTCTGCCGCGTGATTCTCCATTGGCTGAAATAGTTCCCAAGTGACCACCTCCTTGGGGCAACGACAGCCACCGAGTCGCCAGTTGACCGCAGACCGCGAGGATACCGCTATGAAAGAGCGTCGCCACCAAGAAGCTGACCACCAAACTGTGGGGATACCATCCTGGTCGAAAAGGGACGTGGCCACGAAGAAGTTGACCCGAACTACGGGAGCGCCACTGCCGTGACGACGAAGCTCCTCTCGTGCCACTGGCGATCTTGAACCTGTGCCCCCCCTGTTAAGGGTTTAGGGTTTAGGGAGGAATCAGGGAGATGCTCATCGAGCCGCCGACTCGAAGCGCCAAACTTGGGGGGTGCCCCCACCCTTTCCAGTAGCAGCCTCCTGGCACGTGCCCGTGATAGAGCCAGGGAGGTCAGACCAGTGCAAAAGCCTTGAGCTTCGGACTCGCTAAGGTTAGACGAAAGTGACCTCTGAATCTCATGATGCTTCTATGGGTTGCTACATAGGGGAATAGGGCAAACCCTGCGCCCCAATCCTGAAGCCCGAAACTCCAAACTTTCAATTTTCGCCCACCAAAGCCCCCTTCGTAAACCTACCCGCACCAACTCTCTCACTCCCAAACCCCTGAAGCCCTGAATAGAGCCAGGTTGGCCAAATTCGGAAGCCCAGTTGCACAGACAGTCCAGCACGCAAGCAAGGGAGCAGATCCCCGCTGCGAACAGCGTGGCCGTGGCCGGCCATGGGCATCGCATCTTCTCGCACGTAGCAACAGAGAACTGTGGAAACCCTAGACCCTAAACTCTAAACCCTAAACCCTAGACTCTAGACCCTAAACCCTAAAGCCTAAACCCTAAACCGTGGGGAGGGTCGTGGCTCGGAAGTCGGGTGGCAGAGAGGGTAGGTTTGCGAAGTTTCCATGATCCTTGTCCTCCGGCTGTCCTTTCCACATCTACTTGGGACATTCGCTGACAAGCTCCGATGCCAAACAAGCTCATCTTCTGCCATCTTTCGGAATATGGCGAACTCCTGAATGCAACACAAGTTCAAGAAAGGGTTCGATTCAAGTGTTCAACGATTGTGTTGAGCTTCATGCCTTGTAAAGAATGCTCTCATCACAACCGTTTCATCCTCAAAAGCAAAGTATAGGCACGTTCGTCATGGTTCCTTCCAGGAGTTGTAGTGCAGCAAGTTTCGCGTAAGAGCTGAAACACATTCACAGACACAGGATGGCGGATGATGTAACAGGCCGACAGCTCGCAAAGACACCCCCATCATAGACACGCTTCGTTTCTTCTTGGCCGCTGCACGGAGAGCTGCGCACTGTGGCTCCAGCCCCTAGGACACTCTCCAACAGTCCTACCAGCAAAGCACCCTCAAACCCAAAACCCCGTAAGCCCCAATTCAAGCCCCTTATGTAAACCCCTAAAAGCCCTAAACCCCTAAACCCCATAGTTCAGCCACCTCCACCCCCCACGTCTTGAGTGTTTCCTAGGCAGTATCTATAAACCCTAAGCCCTAAGCCCTGACAATGCAGCGGTCAGGTCAGACGGCGTCGGCGGCCACCTGGCCACTGTGGCATTCCGAGGGCGCGAAAGGAGGGGCTTGGGTTTTGTTTCGATTTCGGGGGTCTATGGGGGGGTTCTTGGGGGCTTGAGGGCCAGTATCTGAGGTTTGGCACGTGAGCTCCCTCCCCAAGAGTACACATTCTACATGGAAACTAGCAGAGCCCCAACCTGCAAGATTTCCTGAACCTCTACTGCGCACTACACCCGACATGCTGCCACCATATATCAAGCTGCCAAAGGCCTGCCATCCCCGGACCCTTAGACGCAGAAGCTCTGCATCCTGAAGCCCTGACTCCAACCGCCGTGCACCTCTGTCCGACGAGGAGCACAGCTAGTCCTTCCACTCGAACCTTAGCCGTGGTTTGGGCTGGTGGAGGGGTTTGATGGGTTTGGGTTTCTTAAACCCTAAACCCTAAGAAAACCCTAAGAACCGCCCCTGGGACCTTTCCTTCTGGGCTCGGAACTCCTCCTTCCGCGTCTTCTCCACCAGAAATTGGGTGGCCTCGCGGGCCTTGCCTGAAAGGTAGAGCT